AATCAGAATGGTTTGATTTAGAGCGTGAATATTTACAGAAGAGTAAGTATAGATTGCTTGAACATTTCAGGAAGTATCCATCTAAGAGTAATTAAGTACACTTTATATGACCAGACCAGAAAAACCTTCAAACATGTATGTAAAGTGAAACAAAGGTTGTTTAATGAAGGTGTTACAAGGACCATAAAGGAAGCATCTATGATTAACGATTACAAAGCATTCTGGAGTCTGATTAAGAAATATTAAGCTAAATCAGATAGGAAATGTCATATATCTGCAGAATCATGGCATATTTACTTTAAAGATTTGTTGAACCCAAAAGTAAGCACTGATGGGGACACGGTGTTTGATGACTTTGTAGATAAGTATGTCGTTGAACATGATTCCCATGACTGTAATACTTGCATAAAGATGATCTTTCCTTTGACATAGCCGTTGATGAGGTTAAAATAGCAATAGACAGATTGAAACCTAATAAAGCATCTGGTGATGATGGGATACCATCTGAATTTTGCCAGAAAGTCAAGGAATTTATTGCACCATATCTTGCTATATTGTTTTCTCGTATACTTTCTACAGGAAAATTTCCGGAAGCCTGGAGTTCAGCAATAATGATTCCCATTCATAAGAAGGGAAATGTTAATGAACCTAGCAATTATAGGGGCATTTCATTGCTGAATTGTATTAGCAAACTATTTACAACTATAATTAACAGCAGAATCAATGAACAGGTCGAAAGTTTTAGGAAACACCACTCGACAATTGACAATATATTCATTCTACAATCTATTATACAAAAATCTACAACGAGATTAAATTATATTACGCAATTGTCGATTTTAAAAAGGCGTTTGACATGGTAAATAGGAAAAATCTTCTCTATCTTTTTTTGAAAAATGGTATACATGGAAACATATTTAAAGTTCTCCAAACCTTGTACAACAAGATAAATCAGCAGTTGTAATTGAAGGGAGGAAACTATCCGATTATTTCAGTTGTTCCACAGGGGTTAGACAGGGGTGTGCTCTTAGTCCCTTGCTTTTTTCAATATTTATTAAGGAACTGTCTGAATCTATGAGTGATATTTTTTATCATGGAATAGTTATATCGGAAGACATGTATAATATTTTATCGTTACTCTTTGCAGATGATCTCGTTTTAGTGGCTGATACACCTCTCAAGTTGCAAAAACTACTAGATTTTCTTCATAGTTATTGTCGTAAATGGGGCATGGAGATTAATACTGACAAAACTAGAGTGATTGTTTTTCGAAACGGGGGTCGGCTATCTAGATTTGATATGTGGACATAAAATGGTACAGACATTGAAGTAGTTAATGCCTACAAGTATCTGGGTGTTATGATGACACCTCAACTTGTTTGGACAAGAACTTGTACTATTTTAGCACAACCAGGGATAATCTACAACACTCTTATAGTCTCCCTGGCACAACAAGCGAACAAAGCATTATTTCCTATAAAAAGTCTATTCGTAAATATGATATAAATATTTGTGATTCATTTAAGATATTCGATATGAAGATTGTACCAATTTTGATGTATGGGAGCGAAATATGGGGATATAGGGAAATGAATCAACTAGAATCGTTTCATCGATCATTTTGTAAATTTGTCTTGAATGTCAGCAAATCCTTCCCGAATGTTGTTATGTACGGAGAAGGTGGGAGATATCCCTTGTATGTCAACACCTATACGAATTGTATCAGATATTGGTTGAGATTGATTGCCATGCCATCATATAGATACCCGTACCAATCTTATCTTATGTTGAAACAAACGCGTCATGGAAAATATGCAAATTGGGCATCAAATGTTATGCAACTATATTCACTTATGGTTTTGGTCATGTTTGGATACAGCAGGGAGTAGGTAATATTGATTTATTTTTAAAGCTATTTCAGAAAAGATTAATTGATTGTGCCACGTACGTATACGCAAGAATGGCATGCGCAACTTACAAACAAAACCTCGTTACAGTTTTATTCTATTATTAAGTCATCATTTACTACAGAATTGTACATCTTTTATCTTAATAATGTTAAACATCGTAAAGTACTGCTTACCTTCAGAAGCTGTTACAACAGGCTAGGAATACAATGTATTAGAAAAGGTTTTTGAGATTATGAAAGCTCTGATTCTAAATGCGCTTTATGTAATGTAACGGAAGATGAAATACATATTTTATATAAATGTCCAATGTATCAAACTCTTCGTGATGATGTACCTCTTATTTTCAAGCACAATAGAAATATCAATGGGTTAATATCTTTAATGAATTCCAATGATCATAAATTTATGTTAGCAAAATATCTTTACAATGTGTTTCGTATTCGAGGAGAACTCTTTTGATACGCATGTGTATATATTCATGTATATTTAATATACTGGCCTTGAAACAATATTACAAATTGGTTGAAATTGATATCTGGTAACATTGTCAGTACTTAGTTATATTGATGAAAATCTAGAGCCTGGGAGCTGTGCCTTTAGCTGCTTGTGAAGAGCCTACAATTAAACGTTGTGGACCCGCAGACGGACATGTGTTGTCAGTTGGAGAAATATCCGCCAACAGCCGGGGGTGCGGGTGCGTGGGGTGGGGTTGTCAGTTTATTTTCTCTTACCAAACACTGCTTTTGTAAATGACTCAACATACTTAAATATGCAACTGAGCTTATTATGAATCTCGGGGACTTAGGTCCCCTAGTATAAACATCGATCAAGTTAAATTTGACATAGAACGTCAGTGCAAAAGAATACCCAGTATTGACTATCCTCAGAAAGAAAAGACTGCATATAGTGGAGAAAATGAAGGAGTAAGCAGCTGCGATGGAAGGTGTAGTAAAGGTTGGATGCACGGATCGAATGGCGACACTTGTTATGAAACACGCCCACCTTGGATATATATTACCAGTGAACAAACAACAATGAAATACGATATATATTATCAATAAGGCGGACATTCTTTACACAACAAACAGTTAACCTGGCGGATTCATGATAAGTGTTGCCTCTCAACCCATTTAAACAACACCCGTGAAGGTCCGTGTTAGAATATTGATTTTCAGTAACCCACGCTTGTCGTAAGAGGCGACTAACGGGATCGGGCGGTCAGGCTCGCTGACTTGGTTGACACATGTCATCGGTTCCCAATATCGCAGATCGATGCTCATGCTGTTGATCACTGGATTGACTGGTCCAGACTGGATTATTTACAGACCACCGCCATATAGCTGGAATATTACTGAGTGCGGCGTAAAACTAAACTCACTCAATCACCATTTAAACAACTAAACTCTGTCAAAAAAAGAAACGCAACCCCTGTATTTTAGAGATTTTGATCTGAAGTTTTAGGACGACACGGCATTTTTATTATTTAAGACAGAAGTCTGAAATTTGGCAGAATAATAACCCAGATGGGCATGTTTAAAATTGTCATTTCAAAAGTCATCTCACAGACACCAGTTTGTCACCAGGGGGGGGCGTCTTTCTCAGTATCTCGTATGAGCACCACGCGCTGCAATCACTGCACGGTATCTCCTTGGACAAGAACGGATAAGACGCCGGATTCTTTCCTGGGGAATGGCTCTCCACTCCTCCTGCAGTGCAACGGCGAGCTGTTGCAGCGTCTGTGGCGGCGGCTGACGTTGACGGACGCGTCGATCCAGAGTATCCCACAGGTGTTCAATAGGGTTGAGGTCTGGTGATTTAGAGGGTCATGGCAAGACATTGACGTTGGAATTCTGCAGAAAGTTCATTGTTGCACGTGCAGTATGAGGCCGGGCGTTGTCCCGTTGAAAAATCTGTGTCTGTTGGTCAATAATCGGGAGAAGGTGAAGCTCTAACACGTGGTTGATGTAACGTTGGGCTGTCAGGTTCCCTGGAACGATCACCAAGTCTGATTTCTGGTTGTATGAGATGGTTCCCCAAACCATGACGCTTTCTCCGCCAAATCTGTCCACCTGTCGGACGCAGATGGGCGCAAAACGTTTATGACGTCTCCTATACAAACGCTGTCTTCCGTCGTGACGTTGCAAAAGAAAACGTGATTCATCAGAAAACCAGATTCGCCTCCAGTTTTGTAAAGTCCGTATCCTTACGTTGTTGCACCACCTGAGTCGTCGGCGTCGATGTAGGGTGCGTAGTACAGGTCCAACAACTGGTCTACAGGCACGTAAACCCGCTTCTTTCAGACGGTTCCTAATCGTTTGAGCTGACACTCTCCTCAAACCTGGTATTTGTGTGGCAGTCACGGTTGGTAGGGCATGCCGATTACGCAGGTGATGGACCCGGATGTACCGATCTTGAAGGGGGGGTCGTGATTCTTGGCCTTCCACTTCTCGGGCGATCGTTGGTCAAATTGAAGTTGTTGTAGCGGCTCCAAAGTCGGGATATCGTTGTTTTGTGAACATTTAGGTGCCGTGCAACAGTTCCAAAACTTTCTCCGGCTTGAACACGACCAATGGCGATATTTCGGTCGGCAGCACTCAATCGTGGCATTTTTAACACAGCTTTTCGGCGACAAATGAATGAATATAATACGGAAGCACATGGGCTTTTATACACCCCTACATTAACTGCCATTTTCATGATTTGCATGTGTTTTTTTTGTGCGAAGTCACCATGAGGGTCATTTCATGCGTTGTGACGGAATAAGCAATAAAATACACTTATGCGTACAAATGCAGTTGTTTGGATGGTAATCTTCATTAATTACGTGTATCATTTCAATACATTCGAATAAAATTTAGTTTGGAAGCAATAACTTCATTCAAACGAATTTTTCATATCTGAGGACAGGGGTTGCGTTTCTTTTTTGACAGAGTTTATATGGGGGGAGCAACTCTAAGGGAAGCAACTCTGGAAAGCTTCTAATCCGAAATGACTATGCCGGTCGCGCCCTGTACTCACCGAAGGACTATTCACACATTGCATGTGTCGGAACACTTATTCGTTGCTAAATCATCTTCCTTTTATTTTAAACAGATTCATTCTTGTCATGAGAACAATACGACACAAGGCTCTCAGCTACATATGTAATACAACTGATAGATCTTCAAAAGGAACCATTGCAGGTTTAAATGGCAAAACGGTGAACCTATTTCTTACATTGTGACATGTACCTGTGTAATAACTGGTTAAAGATGTTTTTTTAGTCCAGCTCAGGAAAACAGAAACAAATTTGGAAACCTGTGAGACTACAACACATATCACAGAGTGACAGATTGGGTGTAACTACCAGTATTTGTTGCGTTCATAGAAAGTTAACATTACAAGTTACAGATTACATAATATCCACGTTGTTTTGGCCAACGGTACAATATACATGTAATGGATACACGCATGGGGGACTATGTACAATAGAACCACATATGAACACTGTGCTTCAAAAGTGAGTCGAAACCTGTAAATGAAGGATTAAGAAGCATATCATATCTTGCTTGAGTTGTTGTTCATTTTATTTTGTTTTCCACAGAGACGACTACTTTTGAATATGCATGTAAGCATGTATATCGAGGTCGGGTCGACCCGCCTTTACAGTCACGTATACCGACAGGTAAGCAATCGAATCGTTTGAACTTTAGCCGACGTTTCAGCAATGGAAAAACACAACCTCTGGAGTAATGGTCTATACATAGATGTAGGTAATGTTCATGCGCAGTGTTATCCTTCCATAGCCTCTATCGTCGTCAGTTGTAAACCATAGCTACCTCTAATAACAAGAGGTATTTCGTACAGAGGAGAAACTAACTTATCAACTGTGTTATATTGTTGATAAGTACCAACATTCTTCCGTGGTTACAACTGGGAATGCTGCTTGCTGTTAGAAGCTTTGTTGTAAGTATATGTCCATTTAATACTTATCTTATGAACAGGATGTTTGTTTCACTGAGTATACAACAGTAAGGGATCTAATGTATATATTGTAACACATATCTGCTTCAACTACCGAGCCAGTTTATGTGACGATCGTATCCGCCATTTGTGTTTGTTACTCGGTATTGTAATCTGGACGACGCTTCATACCATACCAGAAGCTTACTCACATTACCCGTGGAGCAGTGCTGGGTTTATGTCTGTATCCTTAGGGAGTAGGTTACCATGCTTCTCCAAATCACATTGTTGTATCAACGGTATCCTTACATTTTTTTAATATTTAAATTCATGTTCAGACAGACTGGGGCGGTATTCGTGGTAATGTGGTTTTAAGAAATTCTATCCCTATATACAATCTAACACGTTTGGTGGTGTTGACTTTGTGTGAAACCACAAATCCGATCAAATCATTTGTACCCGAGATCACCATATTGTTTGTAGCCCTAGCAATGCCAGTATTAGCTCACATTCAGTCACTGATTTTAGAATAGTCATCTAAAACTAAAGAAATTACACATGTTTGTATCAGTCAAACAATATTTCAATACAATCTGTAATTGTAATTATATCTACAATATTCGAAGATATTAATATGCCTGGATGATGTTCCAGGAACCGAGATATATAAGGAGTACAGGATAAAGGATATATGAGGAGTCATGTTCAAGACACGAAGTTTTCATATGGCAAATAATTATATGGTGAGTATGTATGGTCAGTTATATAACCATCTCACATTGAAAAACAACAACGATGAACACAAGACTTCTATGTTCCATCATTATTTTTCTTTACAACATTTATTGATAAAAAATGTTCGACATATAATATCACTTTAAGATGAAATGAACCCCGTGTGATTAAGCATGTGCTTGTACAAAAAGTACAGTAGAAGTGAGACAGAAAATGAATTTGCATAATTTTCTCTTCCAGCTTTTGGGACTGTTACCAGTCGTAATATTAGCAGTACACGCAGGTAAATATATTATTCAACTTTTTGTCTTAATAAATCAGTAATTAAAATCAAATATTATGCACTGATACATAGTGAACAAAATGGGTCAAGAATATTTCTGGGGTTATTCTGTTTAAGAGAAGTTTTAGGCAAGTTATGTTATTAATATGGTAAGTTGCCGTGAAACGAAACACACAATTCCATAAGAATATCCTCCAAATAATGACGATCCCTAACGTTTTGGGGGGCTCGCTATATTTCAATTTAAATGTTTTCTATATCTTATCGTTACAGATGCTACCAAGATACAGAGTCCCAACTGTGCCAGACGGGGCAGTGGTCAGTGTGTGGAGTGTTACTACGGGTGGCATGGCCGTGAGTGTGAGAGGGCTTGTACGAACTGCTGGTCCACCGGGTGTTATAAAGATAATGGGATCTGTGAACAATGTGTGCCTGGTAAACACGGCAGAGACTGTAACACTGACTGTCCTGACAACTGTAGACCGGGTAGAGATGGGAGGGTGAACTGTGATCGGGATGGTGGGGGGTGCCTGGAGGGGTGTAGGGAGGGCTGGTGGGGGGACACGTGTAACAACCCGATGTAGTGTTAACTGTAAGACAGGGGCATGTCATCAGACATCAGGTCATTGTATCGGCGACTGTACACATGGGTGGTACGGTTTGGGTTGTGACAAACGGTGTTCAGTTGGTTGTTTAAATAGTACATGTGCATTTATAACAGGGAAATGTCAAGACGGGTGTAAGCCTGGGTATTTTGGTGCAACATGTGTTGAGGAATGCGATGCCAACTGTAAGGATGGAGAGTGTGATGGAAATGGAAGGTGTTTTAAAGGGTGCATAGATGGGTTCAGAGGCAACACTTGTCACGACATATGCCCTATCAACTGCTTGTTGTGTGAACAAGACACGGGGACCTGTACTCAATGTAAAATGAGTTGGACTGGACCTTCCTGTGCTGTCAGAACACCAGACACCAACTGGACTCTCCTGATTCCACCACCACCACCACCACCACCACCTGAAGGTTCATCCATAGGTATATGAGCGCTAAACGATTTATGACGTTTTGCTAAAATATGCTTTAATTTAAATAATTTCTTATTTGTTTCACTTGATTAACGCCATACTATATGGCCGCGGTATGTTATGTATAATCAAGTCTTGACCAGACAGTCCAGTGATTGGCGTCATGGTCATTCATCTACCCACATGGGGTACGAGGACATTCATCAACCGCATCAGCAAGCTTGAGCTAGTCCCCACAATAAGGATGGGTTGCGAAGACCAGTTCATCATCACGTGTCATATATCACTGTGTACCCTATGACTAGTGTATTAGTGCCTAATGTCCTCACGTTCTTGTTTCAGGTGTTGGATGCAGGACAAGCTCCAGTAACGTTCTGTTACTCCTGGTTACTCTCATCGTTACTTTATACACAAATCATCATAGTTTTACACTGGTTCCTATATTTGTAAATTGGCGGTTCCAGAGGCCGTCAATATCAAGTGTACATCCAGTACGGACCAGTTAAAGATCGACAATGAACATAACAAAACTCAATGCTCTCGTGTTTGATACAGAACTGAAAAAGAATAGTTGGCATGTTATCATGTAATGTATGTGCGGGTCGGGTTCAAAGATCGATAGAGATAACATGATGGCAGTATGTATGTCTGTTTGATGACAATCATGTCTACTTTGATCTAATTTTTCAAGACTTAAATTGTTGTGTTTATTGGAATAACACTTCATGAGTGTATGCTTGTATTACTACGAATGAAGATATTAGATAATAAAAATTGTTATTTGCTTCGTGTTGAAATATTTGTGGAACCATGGAAAGATGAAGATTACCTATCTTTATTCCCACTGTTTGGGGGTATGTCAGCTGAATCTGAAACCAGTTTAAATTTCCAAATCCCGGATCAGATGATCCCCTATATGTTGCACTCTAAGAAAGAGGGTATCTCTATTATATTAGTGTTTGAATACTGCCACTGTTGGATGGCACTACCATTCAACTTGAGTGAGTGAGTGAGTGAGTGAGTTGAGTTTTACGCCACACTCAGCAATATTCCAGCTATATGGCGGCTGGACCAGACAATCCAGTGATCAACATCATGAACATCGATCTGCGCAATTGGGAACCGATGACATGACGACAAGCATAGTCGCCTTTTGTGGCAAGCATGGGTTGCTGAAGACCTATTCTATCCCGGAACTTCACGGGTCCATTCCACTTGAGGTGTACATGTAACAACTATACAGATATATAGATAAATATATCGATTCGTAATCGAAATGTCACAAATGATGTAAAGGTTATTTAATATGCAGGTATTATTTATATGTAACTTGTCCCTTTAAAGTTAACCCATTGATAAGACTCCACAATTGACTGAACGGACGTATTTGCCTTCCAAACCGATCTAAGTTACGTTCTCTAGTTATGGAGGTGATATAGAATGTCTATATATCTATGCCATATTCATTTTGTGCATGTGGTATCATGGAGTCTTATCAGTTGGTTACATTTATAGTGACAAGTTACTGATAGATAATACTTATCAATGTATAATCCTTACTTCGTCTCTCTGACATTTCCATTCTGAACCTATGAAAAGTTTTGATCAACCGAAACACAGAAGGACATGTCTCTCAAGCTTACCCGGGGGATTACCACGCCCTATTAAGTGATGCTTCAGGTCATTGCTACTGATCGGACCAAGGAGAAGGTTGGGAACTGAAGGCCAAATGGTTTCTCCTGAACCAACCACAGGTACAATATCAATCTGCTTGAAAACATAGACGGGCGTTGCCTGTACAAGGACACTTAGGTTCCAGGTTCCTACAAATGACATCCATGAGGCTGTGATTGAAGTGCTGTCATATTAAACTGGAGGATCTCACCCTGCACTGATACTGCATTGCAATCCCTGTTAGATTATAGAGTTGCTGAAGCAAGATCGCTGGTGATTCCGACGGATGTTGTTGTTGGGTCTGATGGGATCTTGGTATCGAACATGACATAAAATTATAAGAAAGAGAAAGAAAGAAAAAAGTGTATAATACAATGTGTAATACACCCCGGTACAGAGTCCGGCCTATTTAGGCCTATGAGACACACATAAAAACAAGGATACTATTAAAATAGTACACATCTAGTCAACACACATACTGTAACAACCACCATATTAAAATCCCTCATATGAACAATTTCTTACATTCCTTCACAGTTAATGTCATCCACACACTGTCGCCACACCAACCTGAAGAGGAACTAAATGATACACTGACCAAGAATGATGTCCGAACTGCCCATCAAATTTCCTTTATTTTTACAATTTATATAATTTCACAATACACCCAATGCCTAATATCATCGCACGGATTGTAATAAGCTTTTGATGGATTTTGTCCACTTCACCTTGTTTTCAAATGTAATAACGAAGTTCATTATATATCCGTTCTCTGTGCAATGACGTCACACGTCAGTTGAAACTCTTAGATGTACTCATTTAACAGAATGACAACACAGACATGTAACCGATTACGCCAACGGCAGCTCTGCTGTATCTGTACACGCTAGCCTATGTTTGACGTTCTGACGCCGTAATAGCCCTGATGATATTCTTCACAATGACATGAGTACGTATACTACTACTACTACTACTACTACTACTACTACTACTGCTACTACTACTACTAAACACAGTTTACTACAAGCCCCGTTACACACACGCGCTCGCACCTGCATTTTACTGAAACCATATTCACAAAGTACTGTTTGTGTCAAGCAGTCTATTTAATCCAAAATGTGTTTACCAGCGACAAATATTTTCAATTAATGAGATGATGGAATCTTGGGGGACAGGACATGTCCCTTTAGGGCATATTTTGTAACTCTGGTACACCTACATGTAACTATATTGTTCAATTGTATTGGGAATTTCTAATCCCCTAAAACACGAATTCATAAGATGTAAACACGGGGTTTAGAATTTGTCTTCAGCAACCCATGCTTCTCGTAAGAGGCGAATAACGGTATCGGGTGGTCAGGCTCGCTGACCTGGTTGACACATGTCATTGTATCCCAGTTGCGTAGATCGATGCTCATTATGTCAACCACTAGAATGTTTGGTCCAGACTATTTATATAAACAAGAAAAAAGCAAACAAACAAACATAAAATTGAAAACAGAGCATTTTGAAGACTGATTTCATGATAGTATTAATATGTGTGAGTATTATAACACATTTTGGTATGCTTGTTAAGGTCAGTAGCCTGTGCTCAATACCATTTTGTCACTTTCACTTTTTCTTTATGTGGGTCAAAAGATTAAAGTATATCAATTCTGGTTGAGCGGGATTCTCGAGCTGACACTCTGCACACAACCCTTTAAATAGAAGAGCCTTTATCGATTAGTAAAATCTACTTTTACACAGTTTAATAGTGTGATTCAGGCTTGTCATTGTCCACCACCAATAAACCAACAAACGAAATACGACTTGCTTCAACCGCATGCTCTTGACTGTACCCTGTCGTCACGTATTGCGTATATGAGCTGTTAGCCATACATGTAGTGAGTGCACGTGTATGTTTTTACAGGGTGTGTATGTTTTTATAGAGTGTGTATCTTTTATAGAGTGTGTATGTTTGTATACATTTGTGCATGAGTCGTCAATGTGATAGCCAGTTGCCTCACAGTGGCTATTACAGTATGTAATTTCACACATACATGAGAGAGAGAGAGAGAGAGAGAGAGAGAGAGAGAGAGAGAGAGAGAGAGAGAGAGAGAGAGAGAGAGAGAGAGAGAGAGAGAGAGAGAGAGAGAGAGAGAGAGAGAGAGAGAGAGAGAGAGAGAGAGTTTGCGGGTGTATGCGAATAGAGAAGAGAGTCATGATCAATATGTTCAGGTGATAATGCTTGCTGAAATTGTTGATTGGATGTTTTCTGATCCAGATTCGATTATTTACAGGTCGTTGCCATCGCTATGATCAAAACTGCACGAAAAAAGTAGAATTTATGTTGACTCTGCTTCAGGTGCCATATCTATAACAGAATATGGATATTTACAAATCATGTGTTGCACATTGTACTTCGTACTTTTGCTTGTAATTTGCTTAACGTAGGACATTTAAGACAATTATTCAGAATTCAGAAATGTTCGACATGAGTATCGTAATGGACAAATGTGTCAATGATGAGTACAGTTATTGAGCTTGTTGTCCTCCTCCAGGGTCTTCTAGTGACTGTATTTGGAATCGTCCTACGTGCAGCAGGTAGGTATTTATTCTTTGTGTCATGATTTCATATTAACAATGTAGACTATTTGGGCGGGTAACCGTCTCGTTCAAACCGACATAACTTGGCCAATCACCTAAATAAAGGTATCGCAGATGGTTGGCCTGCTTCTTTGTCGCTTACATGTACGAGGGCAGTCTGTCTCCCAGACACTGGTCTAGCTGGCCTCGGCTCTAGGGTTGTTCTGGGATCCTTTTGGATTGTATTTATTAATAAGGTAACTTCTGGGATTAAATGATAGTCTCGTAAACGGAGTGGAGTGGAAGACAGTGTTATTTTATTTTGCTGAAGTAGTGATCGTTCGTTTTCAACAGTAAATGCTATTTACCTAATACTTGCTTCATCTTCTGCCCAGCAGGCTATGTTGCGTAAGGCCTTGGTTTGATTTCCCACAAGGATAGAAATTGATGAATGAAGCTGATTTCCGCCATTTAATTATGGGGATTAGAATAAAAGTGACGCAAAACCATACTCACTCACTAACCCATCTTCCATCTTCAGGTGCTGCTGATGTGAACAGAGGAAGGTGTATGAGAGAGGACCATGACAACTGTTTAGAGTGTCAGTACGGGTGGTAAGGGCAACAGTGTTTGAATAAAAGTGCATTCTGCAACACTGGGTGTGATCAGACGGGAATCTGTTATCAATGTGAGCCTGGTTGGTTGGGGAAATACTGTAACACAAGTTGCCCTGATCACTGTAGACCCAACAGAGGTGGACGAGTGAACTGTGAGCGGGACACTGGCAGGTGTCAGGAAGGATGTGAATACGGCTGGTGGGGGGCCACATGTAATCGACCTTGTAGTACACACTGTCAGAAAGGAGCATGTCTCCAGATCAATGGTGATTGTGTTGGTGAATGTGAGGATGGATGGTGCGGGGTGCATTGTACTACACGATGTCCTCCAGGGTGTGTACACACGAAAGGCTCTTTTCTTGGGAAATGTTTAGATGGTTGTAGTGCTGGTCTGTGGGGAGAGAAATGTGACAGGACGTGTAGTCAGGCTACCGCAAAGAGCTTCCAGAGTAATGGGACCAGTACGGGCGAATGTAAGGACGGATGGCACGGATCGCAATGTGATACAATGTGCTCTGTAAGTTGTCTGCTGGGGACATGTGCCAGGCGGTCAGGGATTTGCAAACATGGATGCAAAGTAGGCATCTATGGTGACAAATGTGAGCGTGAATGTAGCTTCCAGTGTAAGGATTCCATGTGTGATAAGAACGGAAGGTGTGTACAGGGTTGTAACGCGGGATTTCGGGGCAGCTCTTGTCATGTGACCTGTCCTGCCAACTGTCTGACATGTGAACAAGACACAGATGTCTGTACAAGCTGCAAGTTAGGATGGACTGGAAGTCTGTGTCAGTCAACTCAACCTTATACTTCAGGTTTGTATTCCTGTGGTTAAATAGTAAGTAATACTGATATATAGACAACCATGGTTATCTATGATGGGCTTTTATGACGAATTGTGTGAAGCGTTATGCTATGCACAAACAGAGATCTGCATGCGTTTGACTTCAACATTCCTCTCAAACCCATGAAAACATAATTGTGATAATAATGTATTCATGTATAGTTCCACACTAATGATAATAGCATCAATTAATATCTTCTTTCCAGGTGGCACATACATCCGTATTGATACTGTTTTTATGGAAGCCTGTGTGATGATGAGTTTGATCAGCGGGGTCGTACTAGGGAACAGATTGTCTTATCACTAGGTCCCACATGGAAGGACTGTCTGGCAGTTGACAGTTCCATCCGGTTGTCCACATCCATAGTATCGAAGAGAGAAGATATTGCAGCATTCTGTATAGACTTTCATAACAGTTTTCTAGTTGTACAGGTGGGATCTAGTTATACTTCTCGGTAAATGACAGATCAAACTCATATAGGGTGTTTTGAAGTGATTATTAATTTCAATGTGAGTTTGTACTTTAACATATTGTTTTTGTGTTTTTATTGTTATAAGTAATATCACTAATAGTGCGCGCCATTTATGCGTGGTGCACAAGACCAAATCTATGTTGTGGTGTTCAATATGCAGTGCACGTGATTGGTTGATGTTTCTCATCTCCACATCTACAGTAAGGAACATCGAAACATCAGACATTCCTCGATAACATACTCTGTATTTGTGCCTTTCTATAATCACAGGGCAGTTAAATAGGTCAGTTAAACAAGTCCTTACTTTTGTTAGTGAAACAGCGGGAACACAGACAATGTAATTAAAGACTTTGTCTCGGCAGCCAACATCTATATTCAGTAGCGTGCAACTTCAATACGACCAAAAGTATTTTGGAAATATATACACATTTAAGTCACTAACATACGTTTTATATCATTGATTTTGATTTAAACATATTTTATTCAATGAAGAAAGGGATGAGAAACAAGTTATCCAACTCAGGTAACCACCTCCCGAGTATTTACAACATAATAAATATACAACAACATACATGTAATATAGAAAGAAATACAGTACAGAAATGGTGGGAACCTATGTACAGAGATAGTTATTAAGACATATGAAAATATTTACAGCATTCAAGAAAAACGCTTGCTATTTGATATATAATGCTGAACTGCTTTAACTATTGCATGATTTTGAGTATATGATAAGTTCTTGCTGCCATTAATGATAAATCTAAATTTAAAGCATCATCATCTACTTGTAATTTTAAAAGGTTAAACATTTTCGTTCTGTGTTCGTTATATAGAGAATACTCAAACATGAAGTGACAAACATTTTCTCGTAAATTCCCACATTCCCATTTTGAATCTGACCTAATGCCAACATTAAATAAATCGTTATTCAATTCACTCACATGATATCTTAAACGAGTATGAATAATATTTTGTTTGCGGATACCTGTAGAAATATATGCTGGTACCATGACAATAGGTTTCTTCAAATATGATTTAAACGTCTCTGTTGATAGTAACATTCGCTTTTCTAATGGGATATTATTCCATAATACTGACGTTGATGGGATAAAAGATTGACATGAGTGTTTAAGTCTATATGATGGTCTTACAAAATTTTCAGAGTTTCTAAGGTCATAAGTTGTAGAGTCACGAACAGTCTGAGGAAGTAAATCAATCAGATAAGAAGGTGCAGTACCACATTATTTTATGATATAATGTTAACTTTCTTTTTCCCTACGTACTCATAATTTTTCTCACCCAGTTTCAAAATAGAGATATTTAAGTGGTGTATATTTTGGTAAACCAGTGACAATACGGGCTGCTTCAAGTTGTAGTTGCTCTAATCTCAATGACTGTTCAGAATTACAACCATCCCAAACCTCGCAGGCATATTCAAAATGTGGTCTGATAAACATAACATAAATCTTATTCATAATTTGCCTACTTAGTAAGAATTTTAATTTACGCATAGAGTTTATCATCTTAGAGCTTGATATTACTATTTGGTCAATATGTCATTGGCTGTTACTACTAACTGAATACATGTATGTGCCTCATATACTAGCCCATTCTTGACAGCCTATATATTTACCGTTATGTAGTCTCGATATCAGGAGGTATGATTTGTGAAAGCCACAGCGAGGACTGTTAACTTACACAGAACGCTTTCACAGTTTGTAAAGTGCATATATTGTCACTCTCGTATTTTGAAATGTTTGTTTTATATGACTGTCTCATATTAATGTAAAGTGTATATCAACATTTTTTGCATGCATTACTGAAGGAATCAGTTCATTATAATTTAATGAGCATTGTGTCAGCAATGTTGTACATATTGCTCCGAAACAGACTTGGATTGTGAAAATATGTTTCGATAACTGTGGATATATGCTATAGCTAGTCTATAAGATAAGTTAATCTTTAAGATGCAAATCCACCATACCCAATATGTATTATAGTGTGATATCTCGACGTTGTGAGTTTTGTATTCGATATTTCACGCTATTTTTTTCCAAAAGATTTTTTTTCTAAATAGCCTCATCATTTTAGAATAATCGTTTCTTCAAAATAAAAGTTTTATTCATATAAGAGTTCATATTGCCTGATTTTCAGTACAACAGCCGTTAGAGTGTGATCCATGATGCAGCTTGGAGCATCACCCCTAACTGCATTCTTCCATCTATCATGTTGATTACTGCCCTGTCGTGTCCAGTCCTAATGTTACTCCAATTAATGCTCTGCTGTATGGTGCCCAGTTTAGGAAACCCTGGGCCGACTGTATGATAGATTCATGACGTATGGGCGCTTCGACGCCCATATTAGCCAGGTCACACGAATCAGCCACATTGTTCTCAGTCGGCTAGTAGACACTCTTTGTATCACACCCGATACATGTAATACGTGTCTGTCGGTGATGTTTAAACGAACTACACCAACAATACCAGCAGTGGCTCGTAAATGTCTGTCATGCTGCTGCTCTCAAGACACTCGTTGAAGTTTGTATATTTGAAATACGAATACAAACTGATGTATAATTCATAAACATCACTAAAAGTTTGAAAGCGATCGCCCATACAGAACGAAAGATGGAGGACATATTCAAGGTTGTATCTTTGATTGTATTGCAGAAACACTTACACAGTGAACATGATGTTTCTGCTTGGGGACTCACGTACCTCAGTTTCGTTGATGCTCAGTATTATTTATCAAGGTTGCTGAGTCAACACGAAAAATATCTTTGGTCCTGGACAGTAAATCATGTTTTTTTAAACAATACCTCCCCCACCCAACTTCCCACCCCACCCCAGAAGAAAGTGATCTTTTTGGAAAAACTGCAGTTTCTCTGCATGTATACAGAGTGTAGACGTAATTCAAAATTAACACATCGTTTCCAGTTTCATCAAAACAAATTATGTACCTGCTCGTACCCCTGGATGTTGCTGGTCCATCACTTAGGGCCTGGTATAGCTTTCCGCCGCCGCCACACACTGTGATTCACCAGGCAATAAACAAACACGTACATCCTTTACGCAAACCTTTGTTAGTGGCGGATGCTCATACCCTTTTCGCGAAAAACTATTTACCACTGTTGTGCCTTATACAGCCAATGACACCATGGGCGGATAATCGAGATAGTCCTTGACATTAACATTGACGTTGACGTTGACGTATAATAACACTCCTTGCTGATATCTTTGATGTTTAGTTCTGGATTTGTACCAAACTGTTGGGTGAAGGGTATAATCAGACTGATATATAACAAAGGGTGAAGATCTAGATTCAAACTCAAATAGACCCATAACGATTCTCAGCTGTTTCGGAAAACTTTAAACAAGTATCTTTCTTACGAGGCTTACTGAGTTTGTAGAAATACATAATATAAAGACTCAAGCCCAAGCAGGTTTCAGAAAATATTTCTCTACAAGCGACAATGTATACACATGGAAGAAAGTATCGCAACATGCATAATGTTTAGTCCCCATTGAGCCGTTTATGTAAATAATTTGTTTTGTTTTGTAGGATTATTTTGTCCCATCGGGCGCACCACACATTGATTTTTAATATGCACGTGCTACGATTAAATGCGAGCGTTACGTGCAACATGTGTGCCCGTCATGAAGCAAATATCAAGTTTCAGTAAACCGTTCTTACAGCTCGATAAGATTGACAATCAATTGATTTCGTTGTTAAATGGCAAATAGGCCACCTCATCTGACAACTGCTTAAAGATGGCGAGTTGCTGGTATGCGGGATGCTGGCATGTCATTGTGAGTTATTACAAGGGCTATAGCCAGAAAACACCAGCAAACTAATGACTTTCAGCGGTCAGGTCGACCATGAGTGACAACTGCTAGGGAGGATACACAACCCTTCTTCATCCGTTCATGTCAAGTGGCATTTTAAAACTATTATTCCACATCGTCGTGAGTCCAACAGAACGGTCTTTCAGAACAGAAGTTAAGGTCATAATACTATAGAATGGTCTAATATGTGTTCTAAACTAAAACATATAAACTTGTCTAAATTCTTCAACACCGTCCTTCAAAATGTTGAAACCGTTCAAACCCTTATATGAGATTCGTGTTACCGCTTTGTCAACTACAATTGCACAATTTGGCTATGGATACAAAAAGGACGGTGTGGGAAACACTCAGGATAATACAAGAAGCAGCTTAAGAACATATTACTACAAAGGAAACATTACATGGAACATTCACTATGTACCCGAGGAGGATGGAGGGGGAGTCAGCAGACGGGTATGAAGGATGAGAGGTTGATCATTCTCTATGCTGGATGACGACTTCCTTCCTGGATGTTCATTCGTTTCCAGACAAAGGCTAAAGACAACTGAGACTATTGCAGAGAAACTGACGACGGAGTGTTGATCAAAATGACCACTGACATAGTGTGTTCACAAAATCCAAAATCTCTGGTAATGAACAATGCCATCCCCAAAGAAAAGTGACATCATGCCAATGGTTTTTAAATGTAAATGCCACAGTGTGAAATGGCGAACAGTTGAATCTGGGGTGCTGATTCAGAGGTGCTGTATGTTACATTCAAAATTAACAATGTACATAAAAAATTAATCAACCTCTTGGCCTAGTGAGTAGACTCACATGACAGAGATATGTTGGAAGCAAGTTAGAGCTGACCGCTGGTCAAAGGATAACCTGGCCAGTTCAACGGTTAGCCACATTGTCCCGTCTGTAGATTCAGACCGGAGTGAATACATTTAGTGTCAATGTTTGAGACGAGTCCTTCTGATCCCATTAAGGCTGTGTTCACCTTGGTGTAGTAACGTTCAAACATATTTATATAACGGTGTCGTTAATGTCCAACAGTCATATTTAAGATGTGAGCTCGTATGTTGTATTTTCTCCTGCGGAAAGGTATTAATCATTCATTGACTTGCGGCAAGTGGAAAGTACATGTTTGTCATATCTTGCGGTACATTTCTGAAACCCCTCCCTCCATTCAAATTGTCTCTTTCTAAGATCGCCACTATTTTCCAGGAGTAGTTGTGTAATAGCTCTACTGGTTTTACCAGACAGGTAGCAAATCACGTCTAAAAATAACACATTAGTAGACATGTGATACTTTAAGGGACAATATAGAAGGCTATGACCCCTTTTCCTGACTTACCTTTGCATTACATAAGGCGCTCTTCTCCGAAATGAACTGTTGTAGTTGCTTAGTGGAGTGTATGAGGCTGGTAAAAAGCACATGTATTCTGCATCCCTGTGTGTCTATGGCTTTGAACAAACTGTAAATTTCATGTGAAAAACAAAATCATTGAAATGAAGTGACGTTCGAGTGACGTGAGAGAGTGTGTAGTATAGCAGTGTAGATGTCAGAGTGTTACTCTGTGAAATAAACCTAACTTGATAGCATTCAATTTGAGATTGGGAGTACAAACTATATTATCATACAGCAGAACTGGCTTCACAATTATATTGTGTCTAGTTTCTTTATACTTCAGATAAATATCTTTTATATACGAGAAAATTAACATAGAAGTGTTATGTATATACTGATATGATCTTTTTGGTAGTTGAAATGTTACAACTAGGCAATGGATAAACGTCCATTCAGATGTTACTGGTGAGTTCAAGTCTCATACAGTTGGATACAAACGTTGATGTAGTTTTGAAAACGATGTGGTACCTCTGTTGTGAATTATGATGTGTATAAGCTCGCGACGACCTGGGGCTCCTTTCACGAAGCAACCTTTACTAAGGTTAACCTGAACTCCCATTCTTTAACATTGCACTAAGGTTACCATAGTGACTTACGATCACCTTAGTGCTTTGTGAAAGGAGCCCATGGTCCCGATTTCTCGAAACAAACTTAAGTCTGACTTTTGACTTAAGTTCGAGTTTCTACTCAAATTTGAGAAAACACATTTCCCAGAATGAACTGAAATCGATATTAAACACAAACATAGTAGACAATTTGAGTTTGGTGAATAGAATACTTTAGTTTTGGGGCTTTTTTATTTTAAAAATGCAGTTAAAACTTCAGCTGTTTCAAAAGGTCAAACTCAGTTTGAAATCTGAGCAAAGACTTAAGTTTGTTTCGAGAAATCGGGGCCAGGTAAGTAGGTATACGTTTGTCACGTATCTAGACTATCAACGTGATATGGTAAAAAACTGTGTAGTTGTATACACCAGTAGCTGTAAAGCGACCTTGTCGTGCAGGCTGACACAGATATTAACTGTCAACGTGATCCCAATTCTCGGGGAGACTACCCCACAGGCTTGTATCACGTGTCACCTCTGCGTGTCTGGTGTTAAGATCCGTCCATGTGTAAACACCACAGTGAATACGCTAGATGCAAACACGAGAAAGATGAATCAGTTTGGGAATTCCAAGGATGGAGTGACGCGAAAAAGATTTCAAATGCACATCACTCTGTTTTTTTTGTCTCAAATGCGTTGTATATTTTGTCTATGTATATACGTATCGTGGGATTGTTCAGCATTGCTAACTATTAACAGTCTTTGGAGTAGATTAATGCGATAATATTGTCTCTGTTGAATTGGGATGCTACTGATTTTATTTAGATTGCGTGAGTAAGATGTAATAGATGGCAAGTGTGCAGCAAGTGTTTTGACGTCGAACACAGATAATATGTTGTCACATGTATATGTCTCATTTAAAGCTCACTTAAATACCACGTTGTGCAAAGAGCGCTAAAACAGATCGCCTGTACCTTCTCAGCCATGCCCATACATATTGTATTCTATATCGTCACAACAGTCCTTCATTGTTTGCGCCTACACTGGCACATGCGTATGTCCACGGTGATTGGCAGGTGCACAACCAGGATATAGATAATTGAGCGAGTGATCTCACTCATATCTACTGCAACGTATATAACTGATGTAATCTTCTATTTATACTTACCATACCTTCGCCAAGGTACACACTAGTGATTTAGTTGTCGGGTGTTCACTTAGGCTGTCGGTTGTTTCACCTCGTCGCAGGTGAAGTATCCAGGTTTGCTGAAACCCAGCCTACTATCAGGTGCTAACGGCTCCTGGTCCAGGGCAGAGAAGACATTTTACTGTACGTATATTCTCCATTAGTTAGTACACGGGCTTTGTTAGTGACTTGTATATTGTTTGAGATATTACATATATGGCATTTGATATGGTAAAATATCACCTGAGTATGTGACACTGGACGACTACCATAATACGGACTGTTCTCGGCTAAGTCGGGCTTTCCAGATGGTTATTTGGCTAGGATCTGATGGTCATAATTCAGATCCTTTGTCTTTTAGCACCATTAACTCGCCTTTTAACTAAGATGAGGACACTGGTGATCAGTTATGTTTTGCTGGCATATCCTTTTGAATTTGTTACCAATAAAGATGAATCAGTTCGGGGGTTCGAAGGCTGGAGTGCCGCGAGAAAGATTTCTTCCCCTTTTACGATTTCGTACGTTGAAATGTGGGTGACGAGTCGGGACTTTTAGTGCTAGCCAACTGAGATACCACACCGCTGTGTAGCATGTCAGAGAGGATTTCTACTTATACACCTATATACATGTTCTGCGAGCCGACCAGTCTTCTTTTCATCCCCTGAATATTGAGCGTTAGGCAAGGTAACAACAATTACCTTTCAAAGTATTTTGGTATAACGCTGTCCACCCACTTTCTGCTCTCATAAAGGAGGAAACTTGTTATATTCAGGCTACAGAAAATATGATTAGATCCGTCAAATTTGTAATCAAAATTTCCACAGTTGATATCATTGAGCGTTGCATATATCACGGATACCCATTTATGTCCTACCGCTTCCTTTCTCGAAATAACATGTCAACGTCATTACCTTGTGTTGTTTCAGAACCAAGGATTCTTCAGGTCAAATGAAATCTAAGAAACCACCATGACAAGGCACCCATTCATGACAGTTAAAAATTTGGTGAGTTAGAATAATTGTAACATTTCAGTGTTAATCATACACAACAAAACCAGAAGGGTCTATGCATAAAGTTTAAAAGTGTCTATAGTTTTATTCCTCAAGTCTGTGTTTCCTTTCAGTGTTTGATGCTGCCAGGAATAGCAGCAGGAATAGCAGCAGTGTCAGGTGAGAGTATGCGTTATCATGCATCTTAGAACCACCCTGCACATTCTTGCCTTCTTGTATACTCAATTAAATTAATAACGTGACACTTTTTAAATTGAATCCCACAATGAAAGTAAGGTGTATTTTATCATGACAATAGATGTGTATCCTGCTGCTATCATCCAGGTAACAAGACAGATGATGGAAAGTGGATTGCAGTCCTCCAGCGAAACCTTTTACACTCTAACTCTTTGATTAAGGTTGCACTTTGGAGTTTTCCTACTTGTCTGTGTACATGAATCCCAACACACGGGCGATCGCTAAGTTGATCACGTGACCGTTGATCGTTCCGCTTCACGCTTTTTTCACTCTTCAGGATCACATGTCGGTCGCAAAGGCCATGTTTAAACAGCTTACATTCCATTGTGGTGTGAATTACTCACTCACAATTACCAATAATATTGGAGTTAGGTTTCTGATCTTATTTCATTGAATTTCACTTGTTGCAGTATTATAGCATTTCATGTACCTCCACGATAATGATGTCGCTGTTTACAACAGCCAGGTGACTGCATAGATGATTGCATTGGTAGTTGAGAGGCGAGATGACAGTGTTGTCAGTAAAGATATTCACTTGGTATTCCTCAGTAAATTAGAAAATATAACATAAATTAACAAGGTATTAGTATCGATCAAGATAAATGTTTTATTTGTTAATTGATGTTACCATTGCAGGTGCCGCCGAGGTTGACAGTCCCCAATGTGCTCGGTGGGATCGTGGTCTGTGTGTTGAATGTTACTACGGATGGTTTGGGCATCGGTGTCAGAGACAATGTGACAGACACTGCTGGCACACCGGGTGTTATAAACATACTGGGATCTGTGAACAATGTGTGCCTGGTAAACACGGCAGAGACTGTAACACTGACTGTCCTGACAACTGTAGACGGGATAGAGATGGGAGGGTGAACTGTGATCGGGAAGGAGGGGGATGCCTGGAGGGGTGTAGGGAGGGCTGGTGGGGGGACACGTGTAACAACCCATGTAATGTTAACTGTAAGACAGGGGCATGTCATCAAACATCAGGTCATTGTATCGGCGACTGTACACGTGGGTGGCACGGACTGGCTTGTGACAAACGGTGTTCAGCTGGTTGTCGGGGCAACATATGCAGATGTGTTACAGGGGTATGTACGCATGGATGCGAGAGAGGCTGGTTTGGTGAAAAATGTACAGAGCGAAAACAACAAAGAGAATGCAGTTTCACGTGTAGAAGCCGTGAGTGTGATATGAATGGGAGGTGTTTAAAAGGATGCAAAAATGGATTCAGAGGCAGCACGTGTATCGAGCGATGTCCAGACAACTGCCACATTTGTGAACAAGACACGACGTCATGCACGACATGTGAACGTGGATGGCAGGGACGTCTCTGTACCAACAGAAGTATCGCCCGTCACCATCCGCACAAAGGTCATCCAACATTCGAAGTGCTTGGCTCCCCGTCTGAACCAACAGGTATGTATATCAACACTGACAATTATGGTAAGCAACGAGTCTTACCCAACTGAATGTTTTAGGGCCTAACTGATAACCACCTGAATCTATAAATATATTGTACTTTGAGGTGAGATGAGGTGAGGTGAGGTGAGGTGGGGTGAAATGGGGTTTACGTCGCACTGAAGAATATTTCGCTCATATGATGACGTGCATGCGTGTGTATGTGTGGCTGCTTGTACTAGCCCAGACTTAAGCTGGTTTTATAGTGCTAGCTCACTGAGATACAATGCCGCAGTTAAGCATGAATACCCCACTCAGACACATTATGGACTCCGAGTCGATCAGTCGTTGTTGCACCCATTAATGGCAAGTACCATATTTTAACGTCTTTTGGTATGACGCGGTCGGGGATCGAACCCACGACCTTCCGCTCTCCGGGCGTACGCTCTAAACACTACACCACGGAGGCGGTTTATTGTACCTTGAAGGACCATTGGGCATTAAAGTAGTTCAGCTAAGATCTATATCCCGGTAATCAGAATTCAATATATCAATGATGTATGTGGATTTAACATAGAAATGACAACCAAACACTACGAATAATCCTTTGCTTGTTGAAGATTCGGATCCACTCTCTTTCTTTCAGGTGGTGCTACCGGCAGGGACAGTGGCAGCATATTGCTTCTGTTGGTGGCTGTGATCATCAGTGCCATGTGCCAGACAGACCTTTCATGGTATTCCAATGAACTGTTCCGAATACAAGACACTTCACTGTCTACCTTACAGAAGTTACGGACTCAAGTAAAACGGTCCTGCATGCAGATTGCATGTCATGAGTATTCACTAGGTCAAGCGTTTGTAAATTGGCGGTTCCAAAGGCCGTCAATATCAGATCGTTAGTCCAGTGCATAACGACATGTAAAAGATTGTTTTTACTTGATGATTCATGACGAAATTATGTTTTAATATCTTTCGTTAATTTCTAATTTTGTAACAATCCCGGCACGGAAATAGCACTTGTTCAAGCATTGTAGAGCGTGCAAAATGGAAGTAACGACAATAGACGTCTTTGCCATTGTCGTTTACAATCATTGTATCAGTAAAACATAAAACCTCCACCCTCAATTGTGCTGAATATACATGGGAACACAGGCATTGGTGTTCGGATTTTCGGCCTTAATGTGAAAAAGTTATTCAAATGTGCATTTTTTAACTTAACTGTATTAATTGTTCTTGGTGCCAATTTGTCCGATTGATTTTCTTTTTTTCGCAATTTTGTAAATATATGTAGAATTATGTGGTGTCAGAATATGTTAGTGGCATTCTTGACACTAAATGTTTAGACGGTTTGAAATAAAAAGGTATTATTTAAAACACAATATAGTTGGTTGTATTTGAAATTGACCAGGCTTAGCCGTTATGCCAGTCATGGCTCCTTTAGGCACAGGATCTATTGCATGTGTCTATGGCCTCGCAGGAATCACGGTGACAATGGCTACCAGACCTGGCCGTTATGCCAGTCATGGCTCCTTTAGGCACAGGATCCATTCCATGTGTCTATGGCCTCGCAGGAATCACGCTGACAATGGCTACCAGACTTGGCTGTCATGACAGTCTATTACAGCGCCATCATGTCCAGAGTTGGGACCCTTACTTCAGACAGAAATCTGCCCTCCTGGGTTGGACTGTGAGCGCCATGCTCGAGTTCAGCACAGTGTTACAGCCTAAATCCTGCGTCAGATAGGACTTTCTGACATACAATTTTAATGAAGTTGTGTTTGAGCAGTTTGAAAGTTTGAACGGTTAAGTGATTCATCCATATTACTAATTTGAAACGACAGTACTAAGGAATAGTATACTATTCACAATTTGCTAAGGATCAAACAGATTCAACAGAAAACTATGATGTGGGGTCAAATTTGATTTAAATATCTAAGCTTATTGTATGCATGGATCCTATGTTTCAGTATGTCAGTATTCCATCTCGTGGATCCCATATCTGCTATTGACAGGTGTTGTTTAGTTGTCAATGACTCGTTCCATGATATGCAAAATGGTTGATTGGCGCCATGGGAACAATTTTTTATGGTTACTCATGTATCAAGGTTAGATTAAAGTGGTTGTTTGCCTAAAGAGGTGTTGCCATATTATTATTTTTCCAGTTTTAAATGGATACAATTTCAAATAATAAATCTACGTTTAAGTAAAGTTGTGATTTTTGTGATCCTTATTGAAGTGTGAGTAGTATATATTACTCAGTTTTGACTATCCCCAGAAACAGATTCCATTGGTGTAAAGAGTAAAATGGCTGTGAACATCATATAACTCGACCACTGAAAATCAATGATGACAATAAATAGTGATCGGCAATAAGCGGTAACTTTTACATTCCCCTTCTCCAATGTCCTAACTCGTTGCAAGTCTTGTAGACGAGTTTCTGTTGTAAGTTTAATGCTGATAGTTACAAGATGAAGCGAGGGGTTCTTGATACATGAGATCAGGAGATCAGTAGGAGGTCCACTGTAATTCTTCACTGGTTACACATGCCTTGTGAATATCTCGATGTCTGATTATGAAACTGATGCAGTTGATATTAATTTGGGCGAAAGTATAGGTCAATTTCGTTACTCGTTAAATGCTACCGCTAAAGCCTCATCACACAGAAAATCTACTATTTGTAACTGTGTTGACACTGACACAGACGGACACTCACTCGTGCTTAACATTCAGATACGGTATCGCAAGATTCAAATATTACACAATGTAGACCGTAGAGTATAACCCACTGCACAGATGAAAGGTTTAATCTATCAGTGATAGCTGACTTACCGTTGAGAAGCTTGCATGTCACGAGATGCAAATGAAGTACATACAACTTGTCTGGTACATATACCCTTCATCTTTATTTGTTTGCTGATTACAATCACACTAAGCTCCGCACTCCACAAGCATATCCAATATGGACACAATCTAGTCTAGAGAGAATTTAATATTAGATAATATTAACAACGGTCGACGTCGTCACGGTCGGATGGCACCATGTACAATGTCGGCGAGCCTGATGACCCCATCCTGAGCATTATCTGTTGATTCAGCACATGTTGTTACAGTCGATGCTAGTGAGTGGCTATATAACCACATGCCTCATATAAACTCTATCCTAACACAATCTGAAAATGTCAGATTATACAAACAATTAAAGCCAAGCTGTGACTCTACTTGGTGGTGTTACGCATCTTGTGGAGGATATGGCTATAGGGAACACTTCATGACCGTTGAAAGGAAAGCGATACAAATAAACACATGACAGCTCACATCTGTCGGAAACAACATAATGTATGTTTTGTTTTATCACGAAACATCAATAATCATGCATGTAAATATTGATTCGTTTCTTTCCGTGTCTGTGTTCTCCGATCCTAAATGAGGACTTTTTTGATAATATTCATTATAGATTCAGTCTTCATATACATGTCAGGTGCATCAATCATAGAGGTTACTTGATACGTAGTTTGTGGTGTGTGGATAAGTCTAATATACGTCAGCACAAACCTGGCGAAAAGCAAAATCAAAGTGCAGAAAGGTCCATCAGGTTGTGTGAAACTAATCAACATATACAAACATTACAATATATACAAGCTGCATATGTTCAAGTATTCATTATTCTCTAGAAATGTACTCAATACAGTGTTTAGTAAGAAACCGATACTAATCAACATATACAAACATTACAATATATACAAGCTGCATATGTTCAAGTATTCATTATTCTCTAGAAATGTACTCAATACAGTGTTTAGTAAGAAACCGATACACAGAAACCAGCCTCTTCCGCATTCTGAAAACATTGAGTCAGTCCAGCTAATAGTTGTTTATTTGGGGATGCACTATCAATATCACACACACGTCGGCGGGAACGTCAGGTCTTCACGGGTCCCGGCACGACAGGCAGTAACGTCTACACGGGTACGAGTTGTCTTTACTTCTTGACACATATATACCGAGACGTAAGTATAGCTGAAAATATGAAGCTATCGTGGAACCTTCTAAACTTCAGTAACTCGATATTACGATATTCCACCTATTAATGGCCTTCTATCAGTATGTATGTTGCTATGGATACATCATGTGGTCTATCGATATGGACTTGACCTGGAAACCCGTCAATATCCGGCTAGAACTGGTCATCAGTAACCCATGCTTGTTTTAAAAGGCGACTAACGGAATCGGGTGGTCAGGCTCGTTAACACATGTCATCGTATACCAATTGCGTAGATCGATGCTCATACTGTTGATCACTGGATTGTCTGGTCCAGACTCGAATATTTATTTACAGTCCGCCGCCATATAGCTGGAATATTACTGAGTGCAGCGTTAAACAACAAACCAACTTGACCTGGACACTGATATTAGACAGGCAGGGCATACACAGCGTTATCGGACCACCTGGTGTCAGAGCATTCAGTTTACAGTTATTCACAATGTTGGCTAAATAACTTTGGTTAATCAGCAAATGTATAATAATTAAGGACATATGTTTATTATCTTTTTTCAGTTGGGGCAACATGGTGTTGACTTGGATTCTGTTGATCTGTGTATCATTTAAAGTGGGGAGTAATGGTAGGTATACATGTACATATTACTTATATACACATTTGCAGATGGTTTCTTTTTTAACGCTGACACATTCATATAATTAATTGGCACGCTATGTACAAACAGATTTGAGCAAATTCAGATTCTACATAAGAAATGAAAACTACTTGCTTGAACCATTGTTGTTTCAGGGGCTGTTGATGATATTTGCCATCATATTCAAAGCTGTTGTTTGGATGAGGACAAACTCTGTCAAACTGACATATCGTCAGATATATGCAAAGTCAACTGCGGTAAATATCATGACTGTTCCTCAAATCACGTTCGACTTTCGAGAGTGGGGACTGAATGTCAAAACTATTGTACAACTGACCTTGAAAAATGCAATGTCGAATGTATGACTGGTTATTACGGTAGCAAATGCCATTTTGGGTGCAGTGATAGATGTGTCCAGCGAAAGTGCCACAAAGATAATGGCACTTGCAACTTTGGATGCAAGAGAGGCAGCTTTGGACAGACATGTGGTTCCACATGTAACCCTAACTGCAAGGATAGAACATGTCACAGGGGTAACGGAAGCTGCCTTCGTGGGTGTTCAGCTGGCTATTACGGTGCAGATTGTCTAAATAAATGTCCAACATCATGTCGGTATCGAGTCTGCGATGTGGAGAATGGGGACTGTCTTTTCGGATGCACTGAGGGGTTCTATGGGTCTGACTGTCCACATTCTTGCCCAGACGATTGCTCTCTGTGTCATCCTGAAACTGGAAAATGCATCTTTGGTAGGTAAACCTCTGTAATATCTTTGGTAGGGAAACCTCTGTAACATCTTTGGCAGGTAAACCTCTGTAACATTTTTGGCAGGTAAACCTCTGTAACATCTTTTGTAGGGAAACCTCTGGTAGAGAAACCCCTGTAACATCTTTTGGTAGTGAAACCTCTGTAATATCTTTGGTAGGGAAACATCTGTAACATGTTTGGTAAGGAAACCTCTGTTATATCTTTGGTAGGAAACATCTGTTATATCTTTGGTAGGGAAACATCTGTAACATCTTTGGTAAGGAAACCTCTTTAGCATCTTTGGTTGGTAAACGTCTGTAACATCTTTGGTGGGGAAACCTCTGCAACATCTTTTGTAATAGGAATATATCATGGAATCAATCAGCACTTTGTGATTGATGATCAAACATCGTACCTTGTGTTTAATTCGCGAAGTCCCATTGTTGATTAAAGGTTCTGCATACACTTGTGGATAATGACAATAGCTCAATGTTTACTTCTGTTTTGTTTAAGAACACATTCCCGTGATCGAGGGTATGTCTTGCACCACGAAGATGCTCGTTGTCTTTTGGGGGTCGGCAGGGGCATTCCTCCTCCTTGCTGGAGCGGCAGTGTGCATGTACAGGTAACTATTGCTTTATGCAGCATTTGCATTTGTCATGAAATCAGTTGGATCACTGTGTGATCATACCCTTCAATACCTCATTTAGATATTATTTACCATTCTATCACTGTACTGATCCGAATTCCATTAAGATGAAATGTATTGTTTTTCCTACTCGTGACTTGAGACCTTCCGCTCAACCACAGTCAGTCCTGTTTAACTTATGCTATGTATCAATCTAACCGTACGATTGCAATATATTGTAATGAGCTGATGTCCAAAATCTTATTATATTAGTTTAAAAAATGAACAGGTTGTCAGTCCGTCTTGGTATATTTAGCATAACATAATATATTTTGTGTTTATTCACCACAGGAGTCAAGCTTGTAGTTTCAGTCTCAAGAAAAAGAAGAAAGGATTAGACACGCTGTTCATAGATGATAGAGCGCCAATGGACATTCCGAATAAATCCAGCCAGGACACCAGATCCAGCCACTATGAAGAAATCCTGTGTAGTGATGCAGACAGTCACTTTCAGCATATCAGTAAAAGTACAGGCAGTATAAACCTGAGGACCTTGATCAGCACCATGAAGTACCCCAACCAATGCAGCAACTCCAAGCGTAAACGCACCAGGGCCGATGCCGGGAGGAACGCTACGTCCCTGGTATCATCTGTACACACGCTCAACAATATTCCCTCGTTCTGGGTAGGATCGGAGACGGATGTTAATGAAATGTCGGAACATCCTAATAAGGAGGAAGAACCTCTTGAAAAATCCCATCAAGCTTCCCAGAGGGAAGTCGTACGGTTTTCTGATGCCCTGGGTGGTGATGAAGCAGAAGGTTTGGATACATCATTGAAAGGAACGGAGGGAGAAAGCAAGTCAGAGTGTGACGATGTGTCAAGTGAGGACCATGGCAAGAGAGTCTACATCTCCGCTATTTTCAATAAAAAGGATGACGCTACGATGGTCCATGTCCCATGTGATGGAATATATCCGGGACTGAAAAAGACAGACTAAACTGCCCAGTTTACTTTCTAAAATATTTTATAGTGTACAGCTTGCAGATATTTGTGCTAAAGATGATTGCAACCCTCAAATCTCATTTCCTACCCCGAAGTATTTATGTTGATGAGTTATACAGCCGTTTCATCATGAAAATAATTATTATATTCGGAACGTTCCGACATGAGATGATCCCGTTGTGTTCCGTCAGGTTTCGCCTCTGTACCTATACCTTTCCAGTGATGCTTCTAAGCATCACAATTGTCACTTTTTTAATGCCATGTTCCTCTATCGTCTTACGATGGATGTTCAGTGTATATTCAGCCAGCTTTATTTTGATGTCGCTCAGATGATCCGCGATGATGCCATTAACGTTTTCTAAATAATATCTGCAATAGTTATGAACGTGATAACCACACGAGAAACTTGTACATGTTTGTATATGTGGTGCTTGAAGTTAGTTATAACTACATGTAAATTATTCAGCTGCGTCTGTATGGAATGTATACATATAAACATTGCATTTGTGTTTCCATTGTTAGCATTTATGATACTTTTTATGTTCTAAATGCTATCTTACATTAATAAAATTCTTGTAAACTAGATATTTACGTTATAGTTATGTTTGGACTTGGTAATGGTTTTTGAATTTATAACTAAAGCTGTTGTAGTAAATGTTTATTTTTTTTGACGAGTAACGATCATGCAATATATATATTTACTTCCTTTCACTATTTGTGTGGTTTCATTTTCGCTGCACGCATTAATCTGTTTGTACGTTTCAGGACATTATTTCAAGTGACATATCTACTTTTGTTTTCGGTAGTTTCTGTATAAATAAGTCAAACGAGAGGAGGAATTAAAAAGTACACCTCAGACAGGACATAGTAAATCAGTTTTGAATTCTTAAAGATTGTAAGCACGTGTATGAGTGTAGTGCCCGACTATAGAGATGTTGGCATGTAGCTGGGAGGACAGCAGTGCGCCCAATAAAGGTCATTCTAGTAGGTTAACTGTTAGTCTCATATCTGCATATATATTGTCGTGAGGTTGGCAAAGACATGGTGGCCATCGTAGCAGTAGATACGTTCATCTCTGCCACCTGAAAACTGTATAAACCCAGTGTGTGGTGAGCAGACATTACAGTCTTAATGAAACGAAGGTGAGTGAGTGAGTGAGTGAGAGTGACTTTAGTTTTACGTCACACGCAGCAATAGTCCAGCTATATGGCGGCGGTCTGAAAATAATCGAGTCTGGACCAGACGATCCAGTCATCAACAGCATAAGCATCGATTAGTGAAGATTAGTGAAGATCAGTTCTAACCCGGATCTTCACGGGTACTGAAACGAAAGACAGAAAACACGGATTAATAGGCAATAGCGAAAGCCAGTTGATGAGCGCCATTTGTTTCCGTTTCTATACACGTATACCTAATGGTACAAAGTGTTTGGTGTGATCTGCATCTGTGTTGAATTGATTTCCCGTGTCCGATGTGTTAAACGTGACGTGTGTGTACGTGACCGGAGAGAAAATATCTCCTTCCCTGAATGTGGAAGTAAGCTACATGGTTTAATTATATGCTTTAAGCATGCCGACTGTTGAACTCGCGAATACAAGGGACAAATCCTATTCCACATCCATAAGATATCTCAATGGTGCGATTTCAAGCTGTATGGTGACTGTGTGATTATGAATGACTGTCAGATAGTGATGATACCAGGGGTAGACGTCTCATGCAGCCTATGGGTACCCGTCAGAATCACATTAACAGAACAGCAACAAATTGGGAATATGTGGTACACGTCGGAATAGAGTATGAATACTCAATGGCATTTAAAACGTGGCCAAATCTGAGTAAGTGTGTTTAGTTTTACGCCGCACTCCGCAATATTCCAGCTATATGGCGGCGGTCTGTAAATAGTCGAGTCTGGACCAGACAATCCAGTGATCAACAGCATGAGCATCGATCTGCGCAATTGGGATAGGAAGACATGTGTCAACCAAGTCGGCGAGCCTGACCACCCGAAGGTGCCTCCCGACAACCCGATCCTCTTACGTTATCAAACATGCATTGTCGACTTAGTTTATAGACTTTTCTCGCCAGGACTCGATTATATACAGGTCACCGTGAAATAGTTAGAACTGCATACCAACTATTTCGTGATCGCTTCCAAAATTCTCTCTGACACACTGAGTTTTAAACGTGCAACGAACGTGAGTCCAACCGCCACGAAAAGGGGACGATACCCTATCCCTTGTGTAGGACTGACACCATACCCTAACCTTGTATGACTGACACCATACCCTATCCCTTGTAGGACTGACACCATACCCTATCCCTTGTATGACTGACACCATACCCTATCCCTTGTAGGACTGACACCATACCCTATCCCTTGTATGACTGACACCATACCCTATCCCACATAGGACTGACACTATACCCTATCCCTTGTAGGACTGACACCATACCCTATCCCTTGTAGGACTGACATCATGCCCTATCCCTTGTAGGACTGACACCATACCCTATCCCTTGTAGGACTGACACTATACCCTATCCCTTGTAGGACTGACACCATACCCTATCCCTTGTAGGACTGACACCATACCCTATCCCTTGTAGGACTGACATCATGCCCTATCCCTTGTAGAACTGACACCATACCCTATCCCTTGTAGGACTGACACCATACCCTATCCCTTGTAGGACTGACACCATACCCTATCCCTTGTAGGACTGACACCATACCCTATCCCTTGTAGGACTGACACTATACCCTATCCCTTGTAGGACTGACACCATACCCTATCCCTTGTATGACTGACACCATACCCTATCCCACATAGGACTGACACTATACCCTATCCCTTGTAGGACTGACACCATACCCTATCCCTTGTAGGACTGACACCATACCCTATCCCCTGACACCATACCCTATCCCACATAGGACTGACACTATACCCTATCCCTTGTAGGACTGACACCATACCCTATCCCTTGTAGGACTGACATCATGCCCTATCCCTTGTAGGACTGACACCATACCCTATCCCTTGTAGGACTGACACCATACCCTATCCCTTGTAGGACTGACACCATACCCTATCCCTTGTAGGACTGACACCATACCCTATCCCTTGTAGGACTGACACCATGCCCTATCCCTTGTAGGACTGACACCATACCCTATCCCTTGTAGGACTGACACCATACCCTATCCCTTGTAGGACTGACACCATACCCTATCCCTTGTAGGATTGACACCAAACCCTATCCCTTGTAGGACTGACACCATACCCTATCCCTTGTAGGACTGACACCATACCCTATCCCTTGTAGGACTGACACCATACCCTATCCCTTGTAGGACTGACATCACCCTATCCCTTGTAGGACTGACACTTGTAGGACTGACGCTATACCCTATCCCTTGTAGGACTGACACCATACCCTATCCCTTGTAGGACTGACACCATACCCTATCCCTTGTAGGACTGACATCATGCCCTATCCCTTGTAGAACTGACACCATACCCTATCCCTTGTAGGACTGACACCATACCCTATCCCTTGTAGGACTGACACCATACCCTATCCCTTGTAGGATTGACAACAAACCCTATCCCTTGTAGGACTGACACTATACCCTATCCCTTGTAGGACTGACACCATACCCTATCCCTTGTAGGACTGACACCATACCCTATCCCTTGTAGGACTGACACCAAACCCTATCCCTTGTAGGACTGACACCAAACCCTATCCCTTGTAGGACTGACACCATACCCTATCCCTTGTAGGACTGACACCAGGGCTATAAGTACCGTGTCCTTCATTGGCAAATGTTGACCTTCCGGGCAGAGTGACAGTATTACTAACATAGGTGATGTGAACACACTGAAGAGTGAGTGAGTAAGGTTTTACGCCGCTTTTTATTCCAGCAATATCACGGCGGGGGACACCAGAAATGGGCTTCACACGTTGTACCCATGTGGGGAATCGAACCCGGGTCTTCGGCGTGACGAGCGAACGCTTTAACCATTAGGCTACCTCACCGCCCGAACACACTGAAGAACGACATGGCACTGACGCCACCAGTGTCCCGACCCTTGGCCATGTACGGTGGCACTGAAGTCCCAACAAGAAGGATCAAGGTAATGATAGACGCCTTGAGATTTATGAAGAGTTACAGTGTTCCTCAGAGACGTATTTGGGGAACTATTTACCGACATTGATTGGGAAACAAATTGTGTTGTTCCATATACCTATGATGCCAGACGTGATAATTACCACAGGTCACTGACCAATCAGAGTTGAGTAAATTCATGGTGAAATGGTACGATGCTGAGCATAGGTTCCGCCACTGAATGAACCGAGGTTATGATCACAACTATGACGTCACGGTTGCTTTAAACCAATTGCCTTAACTCACATAGGCATTCAGTCTAAAATACAAAACATATCGTGTATTTATTCACTTGATGACACTCAAAGAACTCGGTCATTGGACTGATTCGATGCAACCTGTTTGCTTCTATTTTCGTGCCTAAAGATGATACTTTCAGTTCTACGAAAAAATGTATGTATTTATTACCCCTGCATATCTGTATGTCTGTATGTCTGTAGGTATGCATGCATGTATGGTCATGGTTTCAAATCCTATAGTGCGGTATGTGTTGTGGAAGGAGTTATGAAAGGCTCTGGTCAAAGCAGACCTGCACTGCAGAAATTTTGAGGGTCTACAAGAAGCGTCGTCCAAATCCTGCGCTTTTTGAATACTTGAAAAAAATGTTTTGACAGTAAAGTGGCTAAACAACATTTCCTTTCAAGATGCGAAAAAGGTTGTTTCTAGCCGTTCACCTCCTTCAGCACAAACCTATGCCGATTTTAATGGATAAGTATTTCAATGTCATTTTTAAGAGAAAAAGAGTTGTTAGATAAATTTTCATTAAAGCTGTGTAGATTGATACATGTTTTATGATTGGTAGTTTAAATTAACAACTGATATTGTTAGTGGCTGTACAGTATCTCCGAAGTCCCAAAACAGTTTAGGTAAATTTAAACATACTACTATTTTTATGCCAGTATATATGTTACTTTAATTCATGGCCTGACTGTTAACAGCTGAAGGGATGTTGTGAATCCA